ACCTCTTCTTTTTTTTTTTTTTACAGATTTTTAGAAGTGCTCAAAAAATAAAAAAAAAAAGTTGTTGAGCATTTGTGTGTAGAAAAAAAAATTCTTCTTACAAAATCTTCCATATCTCTACGTTTTCTTCTTCTTTTTCTTCTTCTTCTTTTTTGTTCTTCTGGTTTATACCTACGCTAAATACAAACACCAAAAAGCACTATAATTAAAAAGTTTAAAAAGAAAAAATGAGGACGGTAACAGTTTCAAAACCAAAAGAAACATTTGTAAGAACGGAAGTTGGCAAACTGTTGTTAAGCCATTTTATATTTAGAAAAATTTTTTAAGTGTAAAACTGATAATTGAACGACACAGCTTTTTCTTCTTTTTTTTGGTCAAGGTATCATACAGTTAAATAATTTTTATACATTTTAAGAAGTCTTAACTTACTTAAGAATCAACTTTACTTTTCTTCTGACAACAACAAAGACAATGACATTGACGGCAGTGATAGGGACAATATCATTGAGGTTCAGCAAATATCACTTAAAACTGGTCATCGATTTATAACATTCACCAATGTAAGATAAAGTTTTCTTTTTTGCTGTAATAAAACAAAAAATTTATGCTTTTTAATTTTTAATAGAAAAATAACTGTTGTTTTTGAACGATGGTACAGTGTTTTTGAAAGGGCAAAAAAAAAAAAAAAGTGATTAACTGTTTGCAGAAACAGACAGAAATAATCAGTGTGATTTAACAGTGTTGCCTTCTGAAGAAAAACTGGTTGATTCCATCAATGGTCCTCATAACTTTATTTTTTTTTGCATACGAATTTTAGCGATGAATAACTGTTGATTGCCTTTTTTTTTTTTAGCCGTTGTTTGAACAAATTATAAATGTGGTCTATGGATGGCAAAACGGAAATAATTTCAGTAATATTTTTCACAGAATAAAACACATCTGCTCTATTGCCCAAGATCTGTTGCTGTTGCTATTGCTGCTTCTGTTGATACCGATGCCGTAACCTGAGGTTGCAAGAAAAAAAAAAAGCTAAATAAAAGCTAAAGAGTCTAAATTTATCGACTCATCTAATGTTCAAAAATTTCTGGCTATCCACTTAAACCATATGTAATTTATCATTAGCAGTTTTTTTACCTGAAAATTCTATACGAACAATATATAATAATTTTTCATCGAGATACATTGACTAACGTTAATCAAAGATCACATAACGACTTGACATCATTTGAGGAAAAAAAGAAATGACTTAATTATCTGTTGTATGTGAAGCTTATAAAATGATCACTACTGGCATGGAAAGAAAAGTGATACCGAGATTTCCTTTTTTTTTTTTTTTTTTTTTTTTT